CCAGCCATCGTCTGCCGCACCGCGCCTTATTCGCAGTTGCGGCTCCAGGTTGGAAGAAACTGCGTGGAGGTCAACAGATGATGTGGAAGCGAGACACGAAGAAATGCACAGAGTGATTAGGTAGAATCGGTGTCTCCCATCTTCCAGGTTGGGGTCCGAAATAGTCTACAACTGGTTGGCTGGAGACATTAAAGGATAAGGCTACTAACCGAAAGCAGTGGTGTTCCTGTTGTCATTTCTTAACATGTCAGAATGCTTGAAAAGGTATGTATGAACAGTTGTATTGTGTACTCTGTGTGTTGACTATGAAGGTTCTTTTTCTTCGCCTCCCTCCAAGTGGGCCTAATCCCTCTCCATATTGTACTTTATCACTTGATTTGTGTACATTGTGAGCTTGGCAGTGATTAGTGAAGTTCGCTACATTGTATCTCGCTGTACGATGATGATGATTATCTTTCGACTGTGTGTATTTCCGTTCGGGAAGGAGAGCATAGATGGATCACATGAGTACGTAAGTCACTCCTTTTTCTAATAACTGAATTCTCTTTGGACAGCGCCCAACGTTACGTAGGTTTATAAATCAGACGACTCCCGTCCAGGATATGGAAGTGGAAACGCTCACAGACTATCAGGAAGGTTAATTTCATTCACGTTTTACTTTGATCCCTAATCACTCTGCTTGCTTGTAATCCCTTTTATGTCGCACTTCAGTCCATCTCTGCAGTGCTCATTTTTTTCTCTCACCAATTTCCTTAGTGGACAAGATTAACGGGAATGCGCACTCAGCAAGTGACTCTTCTGGGGCCGCGGGACAAGTTACAAGCGGTCAGGTGGCGGAACAGCTCGAACAAGCGCAACAGCAACTTAGTGGTCTCAAGGTGAGTCCTAGATGGTCAACTGGACAACGTGATGAACAAACTCGATTTCGTTGACAAAGTATTGAAAATCGGTTCTCGCAGCTCGGGTGAGCTGAATTCTATTTCGCCTGTTCGCCGAGCTTGGCAATTTGTTTGCAAATTTTGTCAACAGTTTTCGGGCCTACTACGCTGAAAGCAGCTCGCCGATGAGAGACTTTCGCCTGTCGAGTAGTCTCCACTCATGAGCAGCTATTCTTCTTTCATGAATGCCTACGAAGCAATTCACTTTCAGAAAGTGTGTATCATAGACTACCGATCAATCACCCGGAGGCCTGGAGGATCTCAAGACAATTTGGAAGACGCATGGTGCGCATGATAACCTCGGACGCTCACAGACGTCTCACTCAGCACAAGGTTATACAAGAAGAACAACAGAACTGTAGAACTATACGGAGCGAACGACAGATGGAACAGCTGGAAGATGCAGTAAGTCGACGTGTCAAGAAATGTTAAAAGAAAAAGGAAACTAGCACTTTCAAGAAAGCTCCACAAGTTGGATGATCATGAGCTAATCGACGAAAATGGAAACTGGGTCCGAAATCTCTCCAATTGCGTGATCACGCAGGTTGAAAAACGAATCCTCAATAAAGGACTTAACTTCAATGTCAGAAATGCAACGAACAAGGAATACTTGGCGGAACTGGAACAAACTCTTAAATCGTCCACGATACCTGAAGATGCGAAGCAAACCATCCCACAAACTATCTTCCCAGCTCTGATGCGAAAAGGAAAACCAAACATGCTATCAAACCTCGAGGACAAAGCACTCAAAACACTGAAGATGGACAAAAGTATCGTCATTCTCCTAGCAGATAAAGGACGAATTACAGTGGTCATGGACAAAACTGACTACATTCAAAAGGCCAAAGAACTACTCCAAGACACAAACACCTACCGCAGGATCGATATGGACCCCACCGCAAACAAGCACTGATGATTTCACCTCGGCTGGTGATGAAACGTTTGCAAACAAACTACCAAGCTCGGCGAACAGGCGAAATGGAATAAAACTCGATTTCAGTAGTTCCTACTCGTGTTAATATGTAATATGAAACACTACAAGAGTGGGGGATGACAAATTACAATGCATATAGTTTTGATTCTTGTAATTTGAACACGATGTCTGCACAATAGGTTTCAATTTCAGTTTTTACAGCCATTAACCATGCACAATCGAGCGGGGTCTTTTTGGTTGGTTAGCTGAAGGAGTAAATGGAAGATTGGAGTGTGGAAAGCAGTGTCAAGCTGAAAGTATATGATTTTATGGAGACTAGGGTTGTAATGAATCGGACTAGGTACACGACGCCCGTTTTACGACACTCGGCCATATCGCTTAATGTTTTCAACCACCGGTTACGTTGATCCCGAGGTCCCCATGCGGGAAGCCTAACGTGAGCTATGGTAACAATTCTCCTGATCAGGGCCTTAGTTTGACCGCTCTACTTTTTCCACCTATCAGCTGCGTCAAGAAAAAGAACACGCACTGCGGCAATCTACTTGGTGTTACTCGTATCACAGACACCGAAGCACGGAATCTACGAAGGTCAACCAATGGCTCCAGTGGGCGACCACAATTACCTAAAACGGCACACCTAACTTCAACTAGACTAGTGTGGAGCTGCATAGACTGCGGTGGTCGAACACCAATAGTCAACGAGTATCCTGTTTTCGTAATCGCAAAATTTCTGCACCGTATAACAGAACTGGTCGGACTATTGCAGTATACACTTAACCCTACTTAAGGAGCCGCATGTCGCGATGGTGCCACATGAGTAGGCGTGCCAAAACTTCATCCGTTATCTGGCCTGAATGTTTTACAAGACCCTATATGATACAGTTGCACCGATGACTGCGTTCGATAAACAATATTTCCTTCTGTTCTCGCCAACATGCCCGCAGACCGATATTCACTTTGATCAAGAGGGTTTTTTCTAGTCAATTCACAGGTGCGCATCAAATGTATCATCCTTGCTATACCTCTACCGGGGTCGTTTACAACAACCAGATATAATGCACACGTGGGCACACGAACTTGCTCATTGTGCAAAGTAAGTTGTTCGGGAGTAAGCAACTTGGATTCAGTGAGGTTCTTTTGCCCAAACCTGCATATCCTTTCCACCTGAAGTAAATCCACCAGTTGTGTACTACTGGTACTCCACGATCGATATCATAGTTGTCACACATTGTCTACACAATCGTGTCTTTGAAAAGGCCACTCCATTCGGAACGACCAGATGACCTCCATAAACAAATTAAAATGTTTGTTTCATGAGCCACCCCCTGAGGGTGAAGATTTGTGTTAGGATGGAAGTCCGACTAACCATGCGCCGGCGATGTTACGCCTTGAAACTTTGATCAACTTAGATTGAATCGAGAACGAACGAACCCGATGACAAATGACTTCGTTCGGTCGAGTCAAGCTACTGGTAACCAGATGGATCGATCAATTAGCATACATGATCAAACGCCAAGGCATACTGAATGAGTAACCCCCGTCAAAGAATTTAACAAGACCACCTTGTTTATCCGAGTAGTGCGGCTTGTGTTGAACCCGTGGTATTCAAATCTGAGAGAAATGTTGTTGAATTTCGCTGTCCAAAGAGTTGAATGCCTATTTTTGTGATCACATCAGCATGAACTCCAAAAAAACTGTCAAACTGAATGCAACACACGACCGTCGACAAAACGTCGATTTTTTGTGCATAATTTCAGCTGACCTGCATGGCAATTTCTTCTCAACAGAAGGTAGGAAAAATCCTGAATTTCATCCTACTGGCTATTCAAAAAGAAACTAACCTGCATTACTTCACCAAATTCCGGTCACACTAGCCCCATATTATTCTAGGTTCATTGTTCGGCAATAGTACGACCAAGAATGAATCCTCTTTTGTGAGGTTCGTGTCAGTGCATCAAATGCTTTAATTTCTCTCTAACATGCCTCCGTGAGACTTAGATACTGAGGCATGAGCATCGCATGTGCTACTCAGCATCGTTGGAGGACGGGCTCGTAAGCAATTTAGCCCTAAATATGGCATTCTCAGATAACGCTTTCGCATCCACTATCAACAGTATTCCGTGTCACAAGGGTTTGCGGTCAGTGAGAACAGGACAGTGTACATACATTGTGCAGCAGTATTTACGGACACAACGTGGTCTCCCTGATGTCAGTTTTCAAGAGCAAACGTCACCAGCTGTGACAAGGTCAGTAACTTTCGGGGTTTCCGTACAAGCGCTTAGACGGAAATACTATATCATTCGAGTACCACCACCATCCATATCGAAATCCCGGCTATAGACTGAAGAATAATTAACGGATGTTCTAATTCTGCATGAATTTTTTCAAAATTATTGTAATTGTAATTTAAAACCAATTCTAATTCTACGAACTTTATTACTTCATTTACAGGAACCTGAGGGAATAATCGACGATCACTTGTTCGGGATTAGCTCGCCACGTTTCTTTATTGATAAAGCCGTTAGTACGAGAGATGCTGAAGACGATTTTATTCCGTTAGACGAGCAGCATTTACTAATTGGAACTAAGTAACTACGGTCCTCTGCTTCCACCTCTTTATATCAACCCCTGACTCCTTAGTAAGCTCCATTGATAACTAGAGGAAATTTCGTCATCTTGCATATGACACTTTGTGATGGTTTCCAATTACTAGTTAGACAAGCTCAATTTCGTGTACCAAACTGTTCAACAAAGGAGGTAGAAGCAGGCGACCAGATACGTTTAATATCAAAGGTGCTGGATATATTCAGAATCGCACAAACCGAATGGAGTCGGGTTCGTTCATTCACGACTGTACCACATTCAACACCAATCACGTTGTGGAACGAGATCGATGGAATCACCTGCAATTTTAATAAAAGGAAATGACACTTAAAACTAACAAGTGATTGGACAGTTGCCACTCGTCCCCAGCTCAGTGATAACAACGACTATTTTTTTCCTAGCGATCAGATCAATAAGAAATGCTATTATCTTGAATACCATCGTCCGAATTCCTGAATAGTTTAGCCGGTGGCACGCAAATTACACTAATCGATGCTCGTGTGACTGTAATCACGCACTGTTGTTTGATTACTACAGTGAAGCGGCTGCACTCACAGCTCTTCTGCAGTCGATATTCCGACTTGCTACCACACCACATGATTGTTGATGGCGGTTCCCAATAAGTGTGATCGCGCACGTGCGACTGGTTCTAGAACTTTGCGTCTGTCCGTCGTCGATTTAATGAAGCGCACCAGTCATTCACCTCGCCACCATTGGTATAGGCGCGTTTAGTAGATTAGCTTCAAAACACGAGAAAACTGTCGCAACCGGATTGGTTACATCCACAAATCGACCGTGCATGCACATGAATCGCCCAGTCACATGACAAGCTTTGGGTGTGCGCGCGAATCGGTCACTACATGACGGAACGGTCTTGACAAACGCAAGAAAACATCCTGGCCTCAGTGAACGTTTCGCTGTCCAAGAAATGAGACGAAGGTATCTTCAATCGGTCCGTTGTTTGTACTGCTAAAACAACCCACAAATGGACTGAATGCGCAATGGTCAAAATCGTTCGTATTTCAGAAAAGGTCGATAGCTCACGTCATCGTTGACGCTAAGCCGTTACCGTCCTTTTACGAAGTCGCGAAAAAAAGTTACAAGTCCGATCACACCAACTGACCAGCAGTTCAAAACACGAATACTTCACAGGACCGTTAAAGAACTACTCTAGCGACCCACGAGCAAGCCCATTTCCATGCATAGAAAATGATCGTTTGGCGTTTGCCAACTTCAGACTTCTATTGCACGACCTCGCTATCTGCGTCCATGGAGGGCCGTATGTGTTGCAGCTGCAACCGTGTAAAGAAACTTGGCCTCTTCGGGACACTAGTACCCGCTCCACTAGTCTCTTGGGGCAAAAGGACAAGCAAAGAGGTTATTCGCAGAAATTTAGTTCGGATCGATTGGAAACCACAGTCAGCACTCGATCTGAATAAGTCGCAACGATTTAGGAGCATTTCGGATGCCACCAGATAGGCGTGCCATGTCCGCAGACACGGACGATGATCCGATGGAGGAAAAGGGTAGCCGCAATCAGACGCGGCATAACGCAATGAAAGCCCCGATCATTTAAGTCGCGGGATCTAACTGGCGATTAGATGAACTGAGCGAGTACTCAGTTCAGATGTACAACTCAGATTATCACATCACTATACCTCATATCACTCGATACAAAGCGTCGCGCAAGACTAATGGTTAGGTTAAGTGAAAATCCCACTTTTTACGGCTGGACAGACTAGAATATCCATGTAAACGAGTAAAACTTCACGGAGCAAAATATAGAGCTCCATATGACGCACTATCTAAATGATAGGGCACGCTCATACAGTGAGCACCACAAACCCATCACGCATTTTAATTAGTGAGTAATGAAAGAATACATAAATGATGGAAAATGAATACCTTTATTCAAGCATGACGAAATGAAACTGTATACAAAGGCGATCTCGTTCACTGGGTTGTGAATTTGCTTCTCTGTGTATGTGTGGACGAAAGCTGAGTTGTCAGTGTCTCATCACGAATTATTGGGCGGATACGGGAATGCACGTGGGAGGCATGTCGTTCAGCCGGATTTGAACAGAAGAATGGCGACCTGTCCACAGTAGAAGTAGATAAAGTGCTTTGTCTCGTGTGTCACATAACTCCCGAAATTTCGGCCCACAACACAATGCCATGTAGGACCGTGTCGTTTGTCAAACTAACAAAACATGAAGCGTTGTTGATCATCGATCTCACGCCTTACCTCTTTTTTGATATAAGCCGCAATGTCCTTCTCAATGTTGAATTTCTCGAACGCCTGCCCGGCTGCTTCAATAGCTTCGTGCTGCATTTCTTCAGACATGTCAGCATTTTTGACCACGGCTTTTCGGCTTCCGTCGCTCATGATTGCAGGACACTACAGTCACAATGTACGAAGTGAATAACTGATCTCAGTCGTCCCAACTGTCCTTCATCTATGTTTTACGTGATGAGGTCGTTCAGATAGACAGCTCTCTGCCTATTGGTTCATTTTAGTAGCTTGACTTCACTCTCTAGCCAGACAGACGAGCATCGACCGTTGCCGGAATAAGCCAATCAGAAGTGGGTTAACGCGACCGGGGCCTGGGCGGGGTGAGAGAGATAATGGGGAGCGTGTACGTGCGTGTGTTCGCATGCGTCGACGTGGCGATGAATGCCAGAGCACAAACCACGGTAACGCCCAGCAAACTGCGTGCGGCGGCCGCGACCGATACGCCTTGTGACCACATCCGAAATTATGTGTTAGTTTCCCTTTGTTTGTGCGCGCGCCGTGATCACTGGGTTGGGCAAGTCCCACTGAGTACTTTGATAAAGGGGAGGTTGTAAAGTATTTTTCCCATGACCTCTCTTAGATGTTCTCTGGCACTAGATTGCCACGGCAATACAAAGAATGGGTTCGGCAAGAACAACATTTTGAATGCGGCTTTTGAGATAAGCAAATGACCAAGCATCCAATTTAATCATAGTTTAAACGTCACAATAGTCCGAAAAAGGTTCGACCTCATCAGTTTAACGACATAGTTGAGTGAGCACGATTTCCATCAGCCTACCAACTAATCGAATGGGTTACTAATCTAAAACGAATTGTTGCAATGAATTGGAGAATCTTACTAAGGCAAGACACCAACTCAGTGCACGTAGTATAGCTGGACGGAACCGTCACAAGTGAACAATGTAGAAAGGTGCTTTATAACGGTTTCCTAGACGCATTTATTTTATGGGTGGATATGAAGACCAAAACAGAGCTCCAGGTCGGTGTTTCGTCTGTGCATCTCCATAGGGATTTTTTTGTGTTTTTAAATCTCTTGAATCAAACTGTACTCTCAATTTTCTCGGGTTCATGCGTTGCGACATTCATTGGTGTCTGAAAGAGAAAAGCTCTTTTTTAGCACCTCAAATCTCAAGTCAAGCTTTATGCACCCGATAGGATGAATTTTCAGCATTTTTGACAAGTTACAGTGAGGAAAACGTTTCACATCGGAAAAAAGAAGAATATACATTTTACTAATTGAAAAACAAGTGGATGTGATAAAGTCCTAATGTGAGAGATGATTATTCAAGTCAGTGATAATATTTGCTCGGTTGACCAAGATACGAGCAAAATAAGGGATGATGCTGTGTTTTATGTGGTGGTGCGTGCACAAAGAATCTTAAATTTGGAACGCGTACTCGGATGAAACACCGATTTGTTGAGATGGGCATGCACGCAGTGCTCTTCAGTTGACGGTACATGGCTGATAAATCTATCGCATGAATTAAAATGCTTGCTCACAATAAAGTCAACTCAGCGGTCTTTGAAATGCCACTGCAACGGGATAGAAGTTTAGAAGATCTGGAAAAGAAAATAAAGTTTTCTTCCTTTAGACCAAGAAAATATACTGGGAACAGTACGATCAGTGTGGAAGAATGTGTGCAGTCAAATTTAAGAATTACATTTAGGGGACGCCGGGCTTTTTAAGCGTTGAAGGATAGCCTTCGGACCCTGATGTAAATGTTTTCAACATGTATGGACCAGGAAAGATTGTGTGACAAAGTAACTCCAAGATATTTTACAGAGTTAGCTTTGGGATGATATTACCGTTAACAAACAGGTTAAGGCTGATTACTTAAAAGGGTTTTGATAAGACATGCCTGTTTTAAGGCTAAAAGAAACATCCGGCCATTGGTCTATATTTAGCATTAAAGATCGGAGGGTCGACCAACTAAACATTTTATTTAGACAAACTTGAAGTTGACAGAAACAGTCGCGGGACAATCGACTACTACGTCATTAGCATACTTGCATGCGATAAAGTTGGAAGGAACGGGAAGGTCCTTAACGTACAGTTAAAAATGGAGATAAATAGCATCATGAAAAACCCCAGAGTTAATTTCTAGCAGGGAGGAAGATTTACTGTTACAAAAAGTGAATTACGTCCTATGAATGAAGTAATTAGTCGGTGTTTGGAAGGTCCTTTGATGGGGATTGGTGTTATCCGAGCAGCTCTTCAGCAATCACGGATGCTTCCAGATGACATACACAAATTGAACAACTCGGAAATCGGTGAAGCAAGTTAATCACCATGCTCCTCCATCGTTACATTTCATTTATTCAATTGAAGGAGGGATTTCTGAGGAATCCAGATAAAAGTCACCGATAGCCACACAAGCGAATGCAAGTTTGGTGCTAGGTTTTTTCGAAATAAAATGAGAGTCTGTGGAGCATACAAGCAAATTTCTGAGTATACATAGAAAGAGAACGTTAAATATAATGTGCAAGGGTCAGGTAGGATCCTATGCAATAGGCACGCAACGTTATTTGTCTATTGGAACTTTTTAATCACCGATGCTTCAGCGAGAGGAATACAAGTTCGCAGTGAACAGACATGAAGTTTTGGATATGTTGTCAACATGTGGATTCACTGTTCCGTCTCCATCCATTTCCGCTTTCGACAGGTCCGTTTCTTTACAATTGTCCGATCCGTGGTTTCTGATCCTGATCCAAACACGACTGTGATCGAGCCTCTGGAAGATACGAGCTATGCAAGTCGGTTAAAGAACGTAGTTAATGAAATCCAGGTCAGTATTCACTTGTCCCTATCGATTTGACTTACATTTGACCCTTCGCTCTTATAAATTAGACGGCTGTAGAGTATTCAATAATTGTTTAGTCAAATTTCAACGGAACAGTCATGATGCATTTAAATTAGTTAATATTCTGGAACTCGAAAGCTGTATTTGGTTTTGCCCCAGGTTCATTGCCGTCCGATTCTTCTACCCTAATAAACAGGATGACCATTATTAACTTCGCTGGTGACGAGTCATTCGCCAACAGAAGCTCGTATTTCTGACTGGTTTATTTTGCACTATGACAGGAGCGGTCCGCCCGGTCGAACCGTAGTCATTGACTTTCCCGGGGCCCGAGGTTTGGATCCAGCTGCCACGATCCAATTACTAGCTTTGCTAATGTCCGGTTCATTACCACGCTTATCCTATTGGTTTGACGCTCTAGGCCACATGGCCCAGGTTATCGGTTTTCAAAATGAAAAGTTTTCTCCCCCCGCTTCTAAATTGTTCACCACCAATCTGTGTATAATACAAAGCGCTTTTTAGGTGTAAAAGTCACGACGGAGTTTACAAGCCTCACCCAGTATCCCCAAATATGCCTTGCTTTACCGATAAATTACACAGGGCGCATTGTTTAGATTGATAATGTACATGTGTAGTGTGTGTGTGTGTGTGTGTAGTTTGAAGACGTAGTGTACCACCTTGCAATTCCTCCTTCATTTATTACCCACCCATAAGCAAACCACGTGTTCATTTCCTAAAGATTATATGGATTGCATGATAGTGGTGGAGGATTGGACTCGTTTACATTAGCGGATTTCGCCGTGTACAGAGTAGATAAAGAATTGAAATTGAAAAGTTGTGAAGCACTACTGTACTGCTGCTTCGACCTGATTGGGCCTCATCAGCAGCAGGAATCCGTCGACCAAACCTCCGATCCACTCCGGGACCTCATACTCTGATCAGCCGCCCGGTTTTTAAGTGGTTAGTGTGCTTGCGTTTTCCTGTGAGGTCTGAAGTTCGATTCTCAATCGGGTCGATGGATTCGCATTGCTGATAAGACCCGGTTAATTTGAAATAGATTAGATAGCTTCCTAGCTTTCCAATACACTCTACATTTGTTCCGTATACGAACAAGTCCACTATATAAGTATACAGATTATTGTATCGTGATTTGTTTGGTACCTAGTCTGGACGCAAACACATGTGGACTATAATAAAAACTCCCGCCTAGGTCGGAGTTGGAAAACGCTCCGCCACGCCTCATCACAGCCATGTGACCGGATAATCCAATCCTGTAGGGAAATTTGTACTTTCAGATCGATTTCCGTTGCATTCGATCGGACGGGTTTAGTCCCTTCCGGATTCCGAAAATAGAAAATGAACATCCCCGTAGTGACACTTCAGAATCAGCCAGCGCAGTTGTACATGTCAGGGTTGGGACCGGTGTTCTTAGACCAACCGGCAGCGGCTTACCGTGTTGGTTATAATCTAATCACTGTATATTGGTGGAAACACCCACTAGGAAATGATAGGGCATCAAATGATGTGGTAGGATATCTGATCAATGAGAGAGGAGCCCTCATGAGGTTTAGGAGTTGAATTTCGCTCACACTCAAACACAAACGCTCACGCGGATGGAACTGAAAATAATCGTGGCGAATCGCACAAACGTTAGCACAGGATGAGTGCGTCAAGTGAGCAAAAATCAATCCATATTGGTGAATCATCGAACCCAACTAGCCAAAATCGATAATCTGTGCTATCATTCACATGCAGGGAAGTGAAATTCGGATCTGATAGTCACCGACACAACCATGCCACGTGTTTTTGTTTTGCTCGAGCTTGAGTCGCAGTGCAACAATACTAAATGGCTAAAAAGCACTTTAAAGACACAATTTGACTTCCAACGGTACATCAGTTTCAAATTATAAATCAGCATACACATGAAGCCTTTCTGTTGTGCCAGCCAATAGCAGAATTTGCCTATTTCAATCATGCATCAAAATGATTTTGCAACAAAGACAGCCCTTTTTCACTTCATGGATTTTCTTTCGGTCATGCCGTTTTCATTCGTTGAAACGATATATAAGATTCATAGTTTCTCTTGCCTAGACAATCAGCATTCTCAACAATAGTGGATCATTCGATTCAATTCTACAGCGGCTGTCGTTGTTTACAGAGAAAAAAACTAGTGCGGACACAATCAGTATACCGCCAAAAGTGTGGTGACAGAATAAACACTGTGGAGGACAGAATTATTTGCAATTTCTTCTTGTTTAATTCGGTGGCAATTTCGATGCCGATTTTTCAAAAACC